CCGTTCGACGGCTCGAAAAGAAGAGAGGAGAGGAAGATCTTATACGTGATGAGGTGCAGCAAAAGTTCCATCCGAGAAAGGGATGAATAGGAAACGTATCAGGCAGGAGAGTGATTTCCACGGCGAAGGGACGAGAAGAAGATGGAGAGGGGAAGGGAAGAGGGAAGGAGGAGAGAATGGAAATAATCCTTCTCGGATTAAAGGAAGAAAGGAAATCGATTGCGTTTATCTCTTATATTGTTAATTTGGTCTCGGGGTCCAACGACTCGTGAAGAGTTATTGTATGAAATAATCGGGATGGTCTGAGTCCTTCTCAAACCTCTTCGCCTCCTCCTGCATGCTTTCCTTGATCTTCAGGATGGCCGCCGACTCGGTCTGATCCTGCGAATCAACCAACACCAGGCCGGTTACACGTAAACGATCAGGCAAGCCCATCAACCTTGCCCAAGTTTTTCCGTGCGCAGCGTCTTTCACCAGCGTGATTCGCGGGACTCTCGGTAATCGCGCGTCGGAATTTCGGTTAAGGGTTTCCAGTTTATCGAACAGTAAATGTCCAGCCAAATATTTCCCTCTCGTTGTCGCGCGTAAAGAACGCGTATATCAGGAATCTGCCCAGTAATTTCTTCCCAGATAATGAAGGCGAGAGAACGTATGTATCATCACAACTCGCAGGACGATGGATGAACACCGAGGAGTCCCGCGAAATAAAATCCGTCCGAAATAAAATCTTCACCCCCGTGTGCGAAAACGCTGGCCGGTGAATAAAACGCTTTTAAAAGCGCAACGTGATGGCGGTGTGTCGTGAAGGGGCCGGGCTCGTGAAACGAAAAACTCCGTGGGACAGGGATACTGAGGAAGTGTCGGTCTCGTTGTCGGGAACCGGAAGAAAAGTTGGAGTTTGAGGTACTGTTTGCTTAAGGGTGCTCTGACCCACAACACATGGACGTTACGTAAGATAGTGAAGCCCGTGTCGAGCTGAACATAATACAGCAATAAGAATAATAACGATAATAATATTAATGATGATGTGATGATGATAATAATAATAATAATAATAATAATAATAATAATAATAATAATAATAATAATAATAAAATACAACGAAAAATTCATTATCGTCGCCTGCCCCCCCACGCACGCACACCTCACCGATTTTAAACGACAGGTAGTACAGTGAAAAAAAAGGTACTCTAGAGAAACTCGACGTGTCGTCCTTCACACACTTATGTTTTTTCTCCCCCATTTTTTTTTAGCGAAAGACTCTTCCGCCCCTTCGGAATTTTCGTCTCCGCTTATTTTTTCCGTGTCTCGCAATCCATCGATACGCTTTGCGCTGACGCATCCATGTGCTACAGGTCAGTACAGGCTAGTACTATATACAGCTATCTGTTCTGCTCTAGTCCGGTTTTACATACGCAGTGAATACGAGAGAACACTCGAGAAACGTTCAACGAGAGTGCAACATCGACCATGACAATGTGTTCCACAGCCGCCAGCGATAGTGGTGCAACGTCCGACTTAGCGGAGATCAGTCCAAGTATCAACGATCCAAGTTAGCTTAAACTCAGCGATTTTTCATTTAAAGAGTAGATACTGATCGCGCTAATTGGACGGATGGTACGAACAAAGCGACGAGTGAAACACAAGTGATGTGTGTTGTGTGATTAGCACAAGTGCAAATACACGGAGACGGATAGTTATATATAAATACGATGATAGCCAGCACCCCTCGGATTGAATCGTAAATAAAAAAGAAAAACGCAATAATCTCAGTGTAACAGGATTACATTTATTGTCTCGATCTCGCCTGGCTTATAGGCATATATTAATTATGTTATCATTCAGCGATACGTTCGGCTTACAACGAGGAGTATATCAAGTAAATTGGCATTAAGGGTACCAAACTGTGCCCGTCCGTTCACGAATCTCTATTGTTACTATTATCGATGAACTAGGAACAACGTCGCGAAATAAGTTGGCGTTGTTTCCGCTCGAGAAAACGACTATCGTGGAGATCAGCAATATCGACAATTGCGATTCGTCGTGCGAATCGCATTTCAAGCTTCATACCCTTAATGCGCCGCTTTGCCGAGCTTTTTCTTCACTCATTGACTCGTGTTGTACGTCCTCGCATTAAAAAGAAAAGATTATGCGACTCCACAAGCGCGCGTGTACTTTCTTTTTTCCGTTTGACGTATGGGCTTAACGGCAAGATGGCAAGAACTTCGGGATATCGGCAAGCAGTACGTTCTGCCAGACTATCCTGTAATATCTCTTGTGACAGGCGGCAAACAATTCCGATCAGATAAATTGACAAGCTTTAATTACAAGATAAACCCGTCACCACGTCATCCGCGCGATCGCAACTTTAGCAAATAATTAATTCATAATTATTTCATGTATTTTATCCTCGCGTTCATCATGTCATTTACCATCTGTCGCAAAATGTGTGTAAGTATACAAATTTTTGACAATATATAAATGGTGTGAAGCAAAATACTCTGTTTTCTTAATAATCCATCTGTTAATCCACGATCCCAAACCGAAATGAGAAGCGTTAAAGAACGCCCAAGAACGTTCGTAGCAAGGTAGCTTTTGTAAAAAAAAAAAAAAACGAGCTTTCACAACGAGACAATAAAAAAAAACTTGCAGCGTCTTGCCGTTTAATCCCAGAGCATGCACTTGCGCATACGCACATTCACTCTTCTCTCTCTCTCTTTCTCTCTCTCTCTCTCTCCCTCCCTCCCTCCCTCCCCCCTCTCCCCTCTCTCACCCGCATTCTCTCCGTGTATTTTTTTTCATTTTTTTTTTACATAAAATTCCATCGATTTTTGTCTCGGCATTAATTTAAACATAACTAATAGCAGCACAGTATAGTCCAGTACTGACCTATAATCAATGCGGACGGATGGATTCCGGGAAATCTCTCGCTTCTCACCCTCATCGCATTTTATCTTCCGTTTCTCTATCTATATTCGCTGTCTAAGGTTCAGTACTCGCATGTCTTACGTATCTTATATTCATACAAAAATATTAACGTTTGCACATATATATATATTATATATAATATATATTTTTTATATATACCTCTTTTTCTCTCAAGTACTTCGTTTAAGCTACCTGCAGTAAACCATTCGCCTCGCAATATCGCGTAATCTCGAACTACCGTTCGCTGAGAGATCCGCTTTTACCGTTGTACAATGTCAATCGGCTACCAGTATCAAAGATGAAAGCTACGATTGATTAATTTACATAAAATTATCGTTGCTCGAGTCGCATCAAACGATTAAAAGTACGTAGATTAAAAATTCTGCTTTCAAAAGAGATTTCACCTTTCGTTCTACAGTGACGCTAAAAATTGAGCAAGTGACGAACTTTTTACATACTTTGCACGAGAAACGATGAAACTAAGTGTTAGTGGGTCACGAAACGCGCGTTGATTGATTTCTGCACGAATTTAAATAGGATTCTAATTAATTTAACACATTTATTATCGCGCGAGCAATATTCACGGACTGCCTGATCTATAATGTACTCTTGGCTCCTTGTTTTTTTCACCTTTTTGTAACTATTTTATTAACAATGTTTTTTGTTTTTTCCGAAGTTCATCAACTTTTAACTCGGACAGAAAATGAAAAAACAGGATAAGAGGCAAAAAGACAAAAGTTAAAAAGTAGCAAAAAGCAAGAAATAAGAAGCAAAGAGCACATTATGGATCAAGTTTTTAGAGAAAACGATTAGAAACACGATGCGACTTTACATCTAATTATCCCAAAAATTTGGATATCCCGATTGGGGAAAAATTAGCAATTAGAGATTTTGTAGTACAGTGCGAGCTTCCCTTGTAAAAAATTATTGTTAATTCATTAATCATTTTTACGCGTTCGTATTAACTTTGCTTCGCTAGCAAGAAACAGTAATCCGTATATATCCCGTTATAGAAATATATGTACGATACATTAATTTCCATTTGCAAAGCTAATGATGGATGCAAGACAGAATGCCTGCTCCTAATATTGGGAACAGACTGTGAGCAAATAATTGGAGGGATTCGGTCCGCGTTATCCTAGACTGTGTTCACTTTATTACAGAGTCTCGTGATCGTTATTGCAAGATGTGCGAAAATTGAAACTGCTAGATTCACGTTAAGTGTAAAAAGACCGCGCGAGATACCCCTTCTCGGAGGAACCCTCACCTGCCGTTTACACCGTTTAACTCTATAATGCAGTAAAGAACGGACCAAACATCAACTCAGAATCAAGTACAACTCAAAAATGGTGCATTCAAACGAGATTAAAAAAGAAAACAAGAACGTAAAAATCGATTAATAATTATGCGATCAATAATCACAGTAGCGAATAGTTATATACGTATATTCTATCGTGTATGTGTATATGAACGTGTTTTGTATCTTATGTAACAATCTTCACGTAATTTTTCAGGCACCTTTACTTACGACCTATGCATAATTGTCAAATAAATATAAATAATAAAAAATAATCTGACAAATCTCTTAAGTAAATATTAACTAGCTTCTGTAGTAAAATATAGGCATAATCCAGGGATTGAAGATGGAAACAATTTTACTAACAATTATTTCGGTATACCATGCATATATATAGTATGTATTTATTTTTATAAAAATCGCAATATCATAAATATCTTGATTTATATTATTCTATATCAAATGTGATATACAACTGAAAAGCTTTTCGTTATAAATTATAAAAGAAAAGAATACAAGAATCAAGTAAAAATATCAATTTAATATTTATATGTAAGTGTGTTAAATAATTTAATACTAATAATATCATTATAATATCAAAAAGCTATAACAGTATTATTTATAATAATTCATTTTTATTTCGGTTATTGTATAACATTATATAATATATATAATATTATATATTTTATTTTTATTACATATTTCAATTAAATATATATGAAACAAATAAATACCGACAAGTAATCAGTTTTTTTTTACCGTTTTCAATCCCTGGTATAATCATAGTAACGTAAAAAAAAGAATTATAAAATATCTAGTCTTGCAACCTTTTGAGTATTTAAACAAAGCATATACATATCGTATTCCTAGACACGGCGAAGCGCACGTGTAAGAATAATTGTTGCTCAAGTATCTGCGCCATTTAGTGATAGTAGTTCAATTAATGAGCGCTTAAGTGCTAATCCTAATCGAGCAGGAGCAATCGATAATGATCGCACGCTGCATTTAACACGAATATCATTAACTTTTTTTTTCTTTTTCGCTCTTGCTACGAGCTTGAACCACTACATGTGCCGGACTATAGCGAAACTAGCCGGAACGCACCATGGAACACGTGAATACGCAGCGAAATTGCGATGTTTTTCCGCATTACATGTATATAACCGGCACACCATGTGCGAAGTCTACGGCATCTACGAACTCGGGGCTGGCTCCAAGACGACTTGATTTTTTAAAAAAACTGTCGAGAATACAGAGAAGGTGCACGTACGTGATTACTGATAACTCTTTTCGCAAGACTCGCAAAGAACGTCCGCGACGCTGTCATACTTCTAGATTATAACAAAACTTTGCGGATTATGCAGGATAATTGAAGATTAAAAACACGTTTCTTGTTTTTCTGCTCATAGAAACTTCCGTTTGAAAGATGACATCACACGTGCGTGCAATAAATACAAAAGAAGTTTGAAAAGAAATTTGTAAGATGGAGCGTTAAATCGAAAATGAAAATTACGCATAAATAATTATATACATATATACATTTACTGCTACATATAATAATTTTATTCTAAAAAAAAAAACAATGTTTAAATAAATTTATAAATATTATTTTAGACCGACTTGATTCCGGTTTATAAGTACACATTTTTTTAAATAAAAAAATTTTGTCGGCCCTTTTCAATTATCAGACAAATCGCCAAAATTTCAACAAAATCGAAGACGAAAGCGTCGTGACTGTTCCTTGTCATATCCTACTGATAATCTCATATAACAATATATAAGATTAGCATGTAAAATCGTATACGCGATTGAATCAAAAGTTCGATTACTTTGTCGCACGAAAGTAATTTGGTGTTTCACCTTATCATAAAGCACGCAGAAAGAATTTGAATACTTATATAAATATTTATATAAACACTTATATAAATATGTATAAATTATTTTTCATAAAATCAATATAAATAATGAACTATTAAAAATCAATTAAATTATATTAAGTCTCGTCATCTTTCTGCCCACTTTATAACTGCATCGTTAGACGTTATTGTTAGTATGATAGTAGTTAGACGCAATTTCAGCGAATACGGTTATGACAAATATTAGATGCGACCAAATGACGCTGATTAAATTTACCAAAATACCATGTAACGCGTAATTAAACAGAACACCTTCCGAGAAATTTATAGGGACAAATGATACTCTTGTAAGAAAGCATTAACAAGCCTGTTGGAGCGAGGCTGAGGATAAATCCCTTGAACGAGACTGAACCCATATTATTTTAGCAAAATATGTGAATATCCGCCGTACTGATAGAAGCGCTTGTGGCTGTTAATTGAGATGATTAGAAGAGCAATAAGTTGTAACATGGATTCGTATGTCACAAAAATAATAAATAAATAATAATGTAAAATAAATTTTTAAAAATTAATATACAGTATAACGGCAATGAATAAAAGAGGTGATTAGTCAGATCAATGATATACAAATCCACGTCGAGTGTGTGATCATTAGAAAAAGTTATCAAACAACCTGTGCATACTTACATTCTCTCCAGGAGCTCCGAATCCACCCAGATTATAATCACCCATTCCGCTGCCGCTATCTTCCCGTGGTGTTCCAGGACCACCATTCGCTGGACTGTTCTTCATCCCATCGAGACCGTCACCGTTTAGAACCGGACCCATTGTATTAGGACCCATAGGTCCCATTGGACCGCCTTCAGGTCCACCGCTCATTGGAAAATCCTAAAATATGTTATAGCATTGCTTATATGTAATATATATAAATGTTTTAGACATTAATCATTTATCTGGGATTTATAAAAAAAACTAACCCAAATACAGTTTATTAATAAATTTAAAATATAATAAATAGCTGTTATTATTTAGCCACTTACACCCGGCATATTTCCTCCAGGTACAGGCTTCATAATGGTATACATATTTTCTCCTCCACTATTGCTGCTATCCTGTGGGCTAGGCATAATGGGTGTACCGGGTCCAGGCGGACCCGTTGATCCAGGCGGCCCTCCATAGTTGCCCGGCGATGACGACGAATAATTCATTGGCTACATCAAAGAAATGTTAGATATTTGTTAAAATAGTGTTAAATATTAGAAATGTATCGAGAAATAAAAATTGATGTGTATTTATCTATACCGTAGATGTGTTGGGTTGCCATTGTTGTCTACCACCTGGAGCAGCCATACTCATCGGTGGCATTCCAGGACCTCCTGGTCCACCTGGACCCAAAGTACTGTTGGGTGGTGGACCTCTCATACCTGGGCCATAACTTCCAGGACCCATCGGTCCCATCCCTGGTCCTCGGGGAGGATTCATTCTTGGATTCATTGGGTTCATTCCTGGTGGACCTATGATAGAAAGAAGAGTTTGGTAAATTCAATCGTTAAATAAGGGAATGTTAACGTTTGTTCTAATTCTATGTTAATGCTAACTGCTAATTACGATTTTGTGGACTAAACGATAAAAATTGTGGATTTGTGAACTTTAAGATAAAGTAACTTGTGTGTGAGAATGGGCTTCATGTGCGATATAACATTAAGTGCGGGCTTAAAGTGAAAGTCAAATTGAGTCATGCTTTGCCAAAGTCGAGATGAAGCCGGTGGATGACATGCCGTTCAAGCAACTGTCACCACACAAATTAACATAGTGAAAAGCTCATGCTAAAGATAGAAACAGCATGGTATTAAATGCGAACAATTATATTGGATTGTCCGGAAAGTTCGTGCCGATTTTGAAGGAAAATTGAAACGTAGAAGATTAAAATTTTTAATTTATTAAATTATATAGGTTAGTCGGCAAGAACTTTCCGGACAACCCAATACATTCGAACATAAAAAAAAACAAAATAATTTCGTTAGCTGTTAATTATTAAAAATTCTTAAGAGAATTCTTAAATTTTAATTTCAGATAAAAGCGATTTTGTTTTATAGATTTTATACAATAGCGTAACACCTACAGATTACAAATATTATTTCGTAAAATGTAACATGATAATCTAAAAATATATTTGCTAAACACAAACATGATAAGTCTATCTTTTTTATTTGCATGTAGCATGATTTCATAATACGCAACAAATTTTAATTACTATTAAATATAAGCTTGTTATAATAACAGATTTAAATATATTTTGTTAATTTAAAAATGTCTAAAAAAATTCCGCAAAAATTATGCATTTACATGTATAATTAATTTAGATATACTGGATGAGTTTTTTTGACCAGAGACTGCAAAATATCTGGAAAAATAAGCATTGTATGAAAAAAATGTTCTAAATAAACCCTCAATATTTTTGAGGGAGCAATTCTATCCCGCAAAAGTTAGCCGCCTTTCACTCTCTCCTTGGGATGAGGTTGGAAATAACTTTGAAATCTTAAATGGGAATTTTCCCCTATTTTTTATTGCAGATTCGAATTCTATGTCCAAAGACGTGTCAATTTTGTCTAAATCTTTTTTTTCGATTCCTGATGACGGCGCATTCAGCGAAAATTGGTTAATTTTCGTCTTCTTCAAGGGGAATCCCTATGTTTTAATGCAATGATACGTTGAAGAAACTTTTGTCTGAAACATATTTTTCGAATTATCGTAGATAATTTTTTATCCGTTCTAACTTTACTCAGGGTTAAGTCATCAGAAATAAAAAAAAAAGATTTAGACAAAATTGACGTGTTTTTAGACGTAGAAACCGAATCTGCAATAAAAAGGGATTTCCATTTAAGATTTCAAAATCCCAAGGAGCGGGAGATGGCTAATTTTTGCGGGATAGAATTGCTCCCTCAAAAATATTGAAGGTTTATTTAGAACATTTTTTCATACAATGCTTATTTTTTCAGATATTTTGTAGTC